CACTATTTATGTTATGAGTCCCATGTAATAGGGGGTGAGCCTATTGCCATATACCGGGCACAATTCCAAACTCCGTGCTACTACTGAGAGTTATTTTTTTTTTTAAACCCAGTAATATTTTGCCCGACCCGAGAATCGAACCCGAGACCCCTTGCGCGGCAGTCGCACTTGCGACCACTCGGCCAAAGAGGCAGTTTTTACATACACAGCTGTCAATACTAAATACTTTGCATTCCACTGCCCGAATTGATATGCAAATTGCAATATGCAAATGCCTGTATCTGTTTTAACCGATTGTAGATAAGATTCGAAGCCGTGTAAATAATAGTGTATTAAACTAAACGACTTTCAATTCTACTTTAAGGAATATCCCTGCAAAATATCTGGGACCAGTGTTATTAAATGTTTTTATTAAAAAACGTTTTTATAGGCTCTAATCGGAAGCCCGTATTCACTTGTATTCATTAGCTATTTTCTTATCTTTCTAAAAATAAAGACATCAATCATAAATCTCTACCAATCGATTTGTTATCGTTAAGAAAATACCGCGTCGACGTAATTATAATCTTTTTCAGTCGAATGTAATAGTTGACAGTAATGTAAGCTGGCTCGGCCCACAGTTTACAAACATACAACTTTTGTACACATTGTTCACAGAGATTCCTGTTCGGAACGGTCCTACCTCAGTGTTATAGGAGTACCTCGCTTAGGGTGTAAGAAATGCGCAGCTTTTTCTAGAACTGAAGGTATGTATCTGTCGAGGTCACGTCTGAAATATATATGCTAGTGAGCTACATACAAATCTCTCTTTACAGATGATCTAATTTGGGGTAGAAGATGCATCCAACACAATTTTGCGATACACACAAAATTCTTCTGCACGTCCGACTCCAGTATGTACGAACCAGTAGTTCAGCTGGCATACTCCAAACAGATCATTATCTATACTGACTTCATCCACATACTCGAGATAGACTTCGTAGAACCTGACCCAGAGAAAGCTGAAAGGGACGCGGAAGACTCGAAGAACTTTTTAGAGAGGGTCAGGGACAGGGAGGAGGTCAATTCTATTGATGCGAATCCCGACACCCCGGCGTCAGACGTCTCCGCACCATTTCAATCTCCAAAATATCAGAACAACGTTGTTCAGAATATCTTAGCAGATTTTTCAGACTTCGAGATGGAGCCGTTCCAAATGTCGAAACCTGTCCGGTTGCCTGACGTTATGGGACAAGAACTATGTATTCAGGCCTCCTCCATCTCTCACCACAACTTGGTAGAGGAATGGGAGGGACCTTCGCCATCCATCAGGACATTGATCAGCCCTCCCTTACGGTCTCCGAGGCGACGACCGGCTGAAAGCATGTCACGGTTTAACGAAACGCATAGAACAATAGCGGAGAAAGCCTACGAATTCGTAGAGGAAGCAGAAACTAAATGTGAGAAACTCAGTATGTTTAGGAAACGAAGGTTAGCTGACAAGAAGTACGAGTTCTCCGAGGACAACAACGAAAACATTGTCCCGTTCAGGGTGTTAAGGAGTAACAGGAAATATTTTATAGGTTCGACGAGTAAAAATCAGGTAAAGCGAGGCAAGTCTCCGACTGGGGAGAACGTGGTGCTGAGAGCTCATAATCAGATCAGTAGAGCGCCCTCGCCGACTACTAGCTCGGAGATAAAGAACCCTGACCTGTCCACGCTGGAGTCGGACCACAACAGTGAGTCCGAGTACCGGGTGACGGAGATGTTGGACGATGGCTCTCTAAAAACTGTCGCTGTGCACGATAACACTTCGAAAACTCTCTCAGATTGTCCTGTTAATGAACAAGACCCGTATCTCGTGCACTCTGGGAACTCGAAGTGCAGTAAATTCTTCACGCGTTACTTCGTGGAGAGCGATGATGATATAACTTCTATCATCACAGACTCAGAAGGTAATTTTTCCTTAATAATATTTTTAGAGATAATGATTGTGTACATATTTGTAGGCGTTGTTGACCATGATAAAAATCGCTCTCTTATCGTGCGGCCTGCTAACTGCTCTGACTTTTAATAAATTACTTTTTTGTATTATTATGCACCAACGCTTTAATTCCATGTTTTTCAATTACGTCTAAGCGGATAAAGAGATTAAGATACAATTCAATTCATTCAGCACCTGCTATAGGTGTACTTGCAGAAATTGATTAGGTACCTATTTCTATACTACTTAAAGTTAGTGTCTAAGTGTGCTGTGGGCTAGAATATACGATATTTCCTCCTAATTCTTTTTTCTATACTCAGATGACTGCATCTCAGGCTACCACGTAGCTTTGCCTCTATCAGCTCACGGAGCGGGCTACGTAGGACTGCAGGGGATTAGTTCGGGGGCCTGGGACCGACTGTGTGGGGCCGGACCGCCATTACTACCCCTGACTCTGCGAGCCCACCAACGGTCCTTAGACACAGAGTTACTATGCAACGAAGTATGTGGTCGGCTCTGCAATATAAATAAGAAGAAGTTTATATACTGCTTCGACTGGGGCTGCCATGTTATCGATGTTTGTCAGTCCAGCGGCTGCTTGTCCGGGGTGAGTTGTCAGTTTTATATATTTGATACACTTTTTAAATAAACGGGTTGCAGGGATGTATTTGAATGTACTGGACTAATCTCTGGCTCTTAATTAAGAGACTATTATTTAAAGATATTGGAGATATATTGGAGAGAGAGATATTGGATTATGGGAAAATAAGATAGAGCACAAAGTCTCTTTAGTCAACTAGCTTGAATTATTTTTAATTTTCACCATAATGCCTTAAGATATTGTCACATAAATGTATAGAAAAAAGAAATGACAACAACACTGTATTTTGCTCGACCTCTAGCTATTTTTACCTTATTAACATAAGTAGATGTATTTATTAGTGTTTGTATATTTCAGTTGTGCGCGATGTGGCTGTGGGCGAGTGACGACAACGGCGCCACGGCGGAGTGCGAGGCCTGCAAGGACGTCAGCGCGGGCTGCCTCGTGCACCGCCAACAGTACGCTGCAGAGGTACTCACTACATACTATAAAATAAAGTCGCTATCCGCTGCCTGTCCCTACGTATACTTACATCTTTAAAACTACGCAACGGATTTTGATGCAGTTTTTTTTAATAGATAGAGAGATTCTTCAGGAAGGTTTATATGTATAATACATGCATAATATAGTAGAGAAACACCGATAAATTTAGAGGTTTCTAATTGCATCCGTGCGAAGCCGGGGCGGGTCGCTAGTTTATTATAATTCCTAGTTTTCATTATGAACTGCAACTACCTATATCGTAATGTTGATCAAAGAATATTCGGTTCAATTTTATTGCATAATATGTGATATTAATAGACTACTAAATATAATGCAAGAGATCTCGAGATTGGTGTTCAGTTCATGATTACAGTTTTCAAAATTGTTAATCCTTCGAAAATATTAACTGTTTAGGTGACAATTACTTTTGACTTAAGTTAGGTACTGAATGAAGTTTCTTAATCATGATAATATTTGTTTGTTGCAGTGTTTGTTCGTGTGGGACCTTGTCAGCGGGGTGTACAGGACTGAGAGAGTTTCCATGACAGAAGACTCCAGCCAGGAGGGAACCAGAGGTACCTTATTACTTTGCCTGTTATATAAGTTGTATGCACAAAGTATATATTTATTCTTTAGTCGAAATATAATGATATCTTTTACAAATATCTAAACTTTCAAAGTCATTGAATCTAAAGTGGGTATCCATTATCATCATGATTATATTGTCAAAGTTATACTGCGTCTCATACTGAATGCACCTAATACAAATTATTTTTTATCATTACAAAACATTTGAACTTGTTCTAATATAATGTTTATTGTATAGTTTCAGGCGCAGATCGCGCTCGGGAGCTAGCCAAGAAGCTAGGGCCGATCAACATGCCGCCGGGCAATGAAAATAGGTTGCTAACTACCTTGACAGGTAAGATGCTTAATTGTAAACTATAGTTCTACTTTAAAAGAAACTAAGGATGCCTAATACAAAGTTTCTTTTAAAAAAATACATCCTTCTTCAAGTTCCTATAAATCATTAAATAAATAAAAATAAAAATGCCTTTCATTTCACACCTCATGCATTGCAAATACATTAACCGATACATCATGCATTTTATTTTCAGTTGAAAAAGAATATTAAATTACTATAATAATCACATATCATTTATCATCATCATCACTTTCGTCATATGAGTTAAGTAACCGGAGGCCCAATTAACCCTCCCCCCCCCCTTCCCGAATCCACGAATCCCCAACAATCCTCAAATTCCTAATCCCAAAATGCCGGTAACGCACTTGTAACGCCTCTGGTGTTCCAGGTGTCCATGGGCGACGTCGATTGCTTACCATCAGGTGATCGGTCTGGACGTTTACCGGCTTATACCATAAAAAAACTTAGTCCTTCAAAGATATCCAATCTTTTTCATCTGTGGCACTTTCAATATCATGGCATAGTTTAGTGCGTCTATTACTCTTGTTGCTTCTCTTATAGTGAAGCTGTGAAATATTAGTTTTTTTTTTTCATGTCATGCTTATTTCCATGTGTATGAGAGACTGTAGTCATGAATACATGTCTCCTACCGTTCATAAAGGAGAAAGCCCAAAAAAAAAACCAAAGTCGATTAAAATCATTGATGGACTATGTAATAGACCATAAGAGGTCACAAATACCTATTCGTTTTGGACAAAACCATAATCGAATAGGCCAGGAGCCTGCAGTATATAAATAATTTTATGGGCGCGTGAATAATTTTTTTTTAGTCAAAATTTTTACTAGATTGAAAGCGATGAAGCACTTATACAAAAAAGGATTATATTTAAGAATTACATTTACAAAAATGAAGCTAATCCCCTAAACCTGTAACATTTTCCAATATTGTACATACATTACATAAATAAAAACAAAAATCAGGCCCAAAATCGACCCCTGCGGAACACCCATCTATACTACAACATATTCCCTCAATTCTATAAATCCTGTTACTCAAGTCTACAGTAAGATTATGATGCGAAGATATATGCATTGTTACAGGGCGGTCGCTCAAAAGACTGACCGATGTGGACAACTGCATCGAAATAACAAAGAATCATCCTGACAGCTCGGAATCTGAGTCATCAGCCGAGGAAGACAGTGACTACGACTGATTATATTCTAGAAACATCTATAATGCATAATTATAACCTCTAAAGTGAATTTTATGAGGTTCATGGACTAGTGTGTTATGGACACGGAGAAGTAACTAGGTGGAATGCTAACATAAGGCAATATGTTTTGGTGTATGTACCTGTACTGCTATAATTATCTATGTCATTCTTAAACCATTGTGTAGCTGTCATAGTTAAGAAAAATACTGATGTTTTGATGTGACCGAATCACAAATTGTCGTTATTCCATTTGTTCTACATGTTTAAAAACTTTGTACTATATCTTTTGTCGTCGTTCGAGGTACAGTTTTTGCATGAAGGGTTAGCACTCCAATGTTTATATTCTCCGTGGTTATTTGTCACAAAATGTAAACAACGAATGGAAGTTGAATACGTATTGTATAAATGTTTATCTCCTTAGGAGCTCAAGAGATAGTTCTTTAGTAGTGGATCAACTTTATGTATTTGTGTTCATTACTGTAAATTGCCGGATTTGTCTATGAACAAAATATTTTGTTCTTTGTCTATGTTCCATATTTGTCTTTTACGAATAAGGCTTGGAACTTAGCAAAATATTACTGTGAAATGTGTTTAAGTAAACAATGATTTTTGAAAGAATAATAATGTACCCATATGATAATTTGATATGATGTGTAGTCTCTGATTTAAGCCGTAATTTCAAATTATCCTTTTCCAAGTAGCTTGGAATTTTAGTAATTGTAGGCGCCCGATTTTTATCATAGTAACATTTACCTCTTTTTACCCGACTCTAGGAATATTGGGTATTGTTTTTTAATATTATCCGTATATTATACCCACTCAATTTTAAAGTTTCTACCATTTGGTATCTTTTGTAAATAGATTTCTGACAAAGATATTTGATACTAATAGAATCAGTGTTGTAAAAGAATCCGTTTCTATATTTTCATATGGAATTCTACTTGTACTTTGTAACAGCATACTGTAATACAAATAGAAACGTCTTGTTAAAATATTGTCGTTGTTCAAATTCTAATTTCATAATGAGGTGATAGAAATGTTAGCACATGATGTTTTCTTCAAAAAAAATTACCATTTTGGACGAAGTAATTATTCTTCTGGATTAATAAGGGATTATTGTATTTCTGAAGAACTTATAATCAGATGATATCTATATTGTTATCTGATGACACAGTATATGTTTTTAATATTTTTTTTGTGGTAGTTTTTCGAAGAAACACCCTCTTAAATAGTATCAATGGAGCATCTCTATCTTTTTATAACTTGTGGTCGGTTGTGAAGCGTTGTATCGCGTACTTAACAATTTATATCCCACTGTTTGTTTACTTAAAGTCTGTGTGAAAAGCCGTATAGCATAAGTAAACTGCAAATATTATCAACATTCTGTATCTGTAATACTTTATTATTTATTTTGAATAGATGATGACTGGTGTGAATGTCATTTTATGTGTAGTTTTTCGTAGTGTACATATTACAACTAGGTACTACGGAAGGATCGTTGATACGTCTTTTTGCGACGCATTTTCTTACATTTTAAAGAATTGTCTTCGCATCCGGCCTTTAGACTAGCAACGAAATGAATCGTCGGATACTCAAATGGCTGACTGCCGCATGATATTTCATTGTACATAATTATAGTCTTATGGATTAATTTATGTGAACTGTTTCTAGTAGAAGTTTCCACTATCAATGTCCAGTTTTGGTGTCTGTATAGAATGTGTTTAGCTCCGCTCGTGATATCGGTATTCCAAGGGTTCTTTGTTTGACTGTGAACCCTGAAAGACTGGGGTTTTGAAACACTCTGATTCAGTGTAACTAATAGAATTATCATTATCGACATTTCTGTTTCATGAGTTCTTTGCAATTCATTAGCTGATAATTAGGAAAAAATAATTAGAAATCTAAGAATAAAAATGTGCGTAATAAGAATATGTGTGCACAAATCTGTACACCCCACTTGTAAGTATCAAAACCTCAGTCTTTTATTGATAAGATAAAACGTGCGTATTGATGTCTATGTATTACTTTTTACTGCATTTATGTATGTATAAAGTTATCGATTACAAGTAGTATGATAATCGTCAATGATATTAATGTGTAAATGTTTCAACGAATGACCATTATAAATGGATTCTAGCACATGTGAGGTGAATGGTGTTTGATAGTATGAGCTTAGGTGTGGACTTTCTTGTTAGAGTAAGTTGGTGGGGAGTTTGCACACAAATTCCTACATATGTGCTGGAATTCACTCCTAAATATGAACCTAGGCTCATAAAAGGTTGTGATTGTTTGAACATAGGTTTGTAAAGAGAAGTGCCTCTGTGACTTGATCAATACCCTCCAACTATACCACCTCTTTCAACAAATGTAGCTATTTATTTTATCTGTGACACTGACAGTTTAGTCTTTCCTGTTAGCAGTTCTCTATGATTCTGATCTTGAAGATTTGTAAATATTTTTTTATTAGTGATGAGCTGAGATCTCACGATACTAGACTTATGAACTGTGGAGGGTGTACATACTACGTAAGTTTGGAGCAAATGTGAAGGCAATGAGTACTACTAGTGTATAGAATCTTAATCATATTTGTTGAGCCGTATTATATTGACCTACGTTGTGGTCGATTTCACTCTTTGCCAGTTATATTAATGGCGATAATTTTAAAAATGTTTTTAATGAATATGAAGTAGAATAGAAAAAAGAGATTATCCTATACAGTAATTAACTCACGTTGCGATGGGATCAAAGGTCGAGATAATACATTCAGACGCGATATTTATCATAATGGCAAGCAAAATGTATCAAATATGGTGCCAAAAAAGGAACTTCAAGGTCCAAACGCAACAGAGCGGGAAATGTATAAATTACTGGATAGGCTCTTTAAAAATGAATGTTTAACATATTTATCTCACTAACACGTGAGCAGTTGTGAGCTCTAGTCTTAAGTATTGAATGATTGCACGAGTGTGTATCCAACCGCTCCAAGCCAGAGGCATTCTGAACTAAGTAACTAAGCAATATGTATGTAACAATGGTTGTCTCAGAATATTTTTCTCAAATGTCTTTTAAAGGTTTGAAGATTGTATTAATCAGCTTACAGTAGGTAAGTCAGATGATTGCATTTAATTTTATGTTGTACCTGTCGACAAAGACACTGACAGTGTTACTTGCCATCAAATTGTATTATACTATAGATAGGTATGAAGCAATGCATGATGTAATAATAACATGAATAATTAATATTGTGTTTTATTCATACTGTTTTGTACATTTTTACATGGTTGAGCCAGTTGAGAATGTTCAGGAAAAATATCTACACAAAATTAAAGTCAAAATACCTAGACAATAACATTTCGTCATGATTCTTATTACTTTTTTTATAAACCAGAAGAGTTTGTTTGTTTGAATGCGATAATATCAGGAGCTAGTGGCATTATTCTGTGGGACTAGTCTGATTTGATACTCTTTTTTTATTGGATAGCTTATTTAGAAAGGCTATTTTTATATTATAGACTATAAAAATATCATGCTACGACCAATAGGTGCGGAGCAGAGCGGGTGAAACGGCGTAGAAGTAGCTAATAAAAAATATTGCTAGACAATAAAAATGGTCAATTTCATGAGAATTTTGATTTGTTTTATGTACAAAAATAATTGGTATTTACTTTTTAGTCAAAAAATTACACTAATTGCACAATTTTTACAAATCAATCTATTAGTTTGTCAATAGCATAGCACATAGCTTTGTCAAATGTAAAACTTAAAACTAGAGCTAATTATGAAGCAACTGTATATACAGAAAATGGTGATTAGAGGTGACAAAATTAAGAAAACTAAAGCTGTTAAAACTTATTGGTGATCACATTTTCTTTATGAAACGAATATTTCTAATGTGGCAACACTAGTGACAAATTCATTAAAAACTATAACTTACACAATATACAAATAGCAATACTACAAAATGCTACAGTTACTCTTATAATTAAATAATTAGCTGAACATACCTAGCAGTGTAACAATACCCTTAGTTGTAAAATACAAATAAAATGTTCAAAATATTTATTAGTGTCCAGAATTATAAACTGTATACATCATCACACTCGGGCTCTATCTCCATAGGAGGGCTGCGGCTCTGACCATTTTCCTCGAGCATACAGTCTAATGATAGTCTATCAAGATCGTCCCAAGACAATTTACTGAACTTATCCTGCACAAGTTTTAAAAGGCGGTTAGAAGCAGCTATAGCCTCGGAGTCTGTCATGCCATACATTTTCTTGAAGTACTTCACAGAAGCTTCCTGAAGTGTATCAGGCTTTTTAACAACTAAGTTTAATTTAGTGCCATCCTTTATTGTAGGGTATGCATCCACTGTCTGTTCATCCACTAATGTCCTGCCTAGTAGCAGCAATTTCTGTTCCTCTACTGGAATTTTTAGTTGTTCTGCGACCTTTCGTTTAATTTCAGATATATGTGTGGTTGGAAGTACCTAGAACAATCGTATGAATAATAAAATATTTGTTGGGTAAAATGATGAATTTCAGTTTCTACGAAAAGACTTACTTCCAAGCAACATTCACCTCCTTGTAACTTTTTTACGATTACTTTCATTGTGATAGTATCAATGTAATTCCAATTTTCACGAAACTCTGCGTGTAAATTACAAAAATATTAAATCAGTAGCATGATACCAATGACAGGCAAAACAACTGTATAAATTGCTTTTACAGAGAAGTGGGTATCTACGCATACGGTGATGTTTAAGCTTAGGTTCTTGAAATGAGATATTTGTATCTCGTTTTCTCCAATGTATTTATTGTCTTGTTTTTCTCTTTCACAATAAATAGTGGCAAATAATCATTGATTTCATACACTGAAACGCGCTTACGATACGACATTACCATAATGAATGACATTAATTTGACATTTTTAGCTGACGTTTTTAGGCAACTTGTCAATTTGTGACATGTATTTCAATATGGCAATTTTCACGTTCCGTGATGTTTTTCCAAACAGTTTGTGAATCAGTCTAAAAAATAAAGAATAGCCACCTAGATTTTTGAAAAACGAATACAGACTATTCTATTCTATTGAAAATGAATTTATTTGCAAATGTCAACTGGATTTGATCTTCAAGTTTCGTAAATAAATAAATAATTACCAAGGTGATATTAAAAGTTTAGGAAAAGTACACTAAGTATTGATTCGGTACACTGAAAAGATAATAAGAAGCGAAAGAGTTATTTTTTGTCTTAAATATGAACAAAAAAAAAACTTTAGAAATTGTTCACGGATATCACAATAATGCAATCCTAATATTTGAAGCAGATTGTTTAGAAGGTAAAATATGTCTACATACACTATTACCTATATAAAATTTGCAAACTTTGTTGCTGGCAGACAACTTTTCTCACAACAAGAAAGTATACTCATCATGAGCATACAAAGATTCTTGTTATTTTCTAAATTTATTAATTGTTTTTATTCAATAAATCGTCATTGACGTGTAAATTAATCGAAAAAAATAAAAGCCTACAGGTAGGAACTTACTTTCACCGACGGGTTTTTCAAACATCTTGATCAAATATTTATATTATCATAAAACTTTTCTGTAATTCGAGAATTTGATGTACAATGCCTATTACATCTTGAAAGTTACTTGATTTTTAAAATCGTAAGTAACAAATTAATTTTGTATTGCAATTTTTTCAAAAAATTAAATTGATATTACAATGATATTTTTATAGATTGCTAATAGGAACCTACAATTTTTTATAAAATTATAGAAACTTTTTATACTTTCTTAACCCTAAGAGCGCCACACCCTGCACTACCAGCACTATAATCTAGTATTTTAAAATAAATGAACGTTTTGTTTTTTTTATTTTGGACAATATAAAGCCCTTGTTGTCTTCATAATTTTGAGATTATTTCAAAATTAATAATTTAAATTTTTGCTTGCAAATGTCGCAAACGTCGAAATTTGAGGAAAAAATAAATTTGTTACTATTTTCAATACCTATGACTTACTATTTTTTACCAGCACTAGCTTGAAATTTGGCCGGGGTGTCCGTAGCCTAGGAAACGGGTGTAGCTACAAGACAACAACATTGATAAGTCATTTCTTATCGTGTTACATAAAAATTGGCAAAAGTGCCTGTAAATAGATTAAATTTTACTAAGAATAACTTATTTGTGAATAAAATAATCATAAGAACTATGATGATTTTGACAGTTCGAGGTATGGATGGCAGGTGGGTTTAATTTAATCTCGATAAATTAATTCGCTAATAACCTGAAAAATAGGTTTGATAGCGTTAATAATGGTCTTTAAGCTCGTCGGGAATGATATGCGTGCTTCCCGAATCGGGGGACGGCTCAAATGAGCTCCCCTTTGCTCCCAGGCGCGTATCAATTTTATCAAAGTTATCGGGCAGGAGGGATATGTCGGTGGTGCCTGGTACGGCGCACGACCCGCCAGGATTATTCACCTGCGAAATTAACTTTCGGGACTTATGTACTATTTGATACATAAGGGGACGATAATCATAACAAGCTCTAATCAATATCAAGGTCTTACAATGTTCAACCAATTACTGTGCAAAATAAAATTGGTAACAAGCATTTAAATTATTTTGACTTCTCATCCTTTGTCAATAATAATCTATGCAATCAAAATACACAAAAAAAAAATGTAAGATTAAACAATATTATTATCAAAGCAATATGACAAAGAACATAAATCTGTTTTAAAATTAATGAACAATATCCTATTTCACTAATCAACAATAGACACACTCCAATTATTATAATATTGCATGTAATATCTATACTTATATAAAAATGTCAGTAGTAGCAAGCTCAACACACAATAATTACATAAACAAAACAAAATATCCAGTCAAGCATTACATATGGTGGTACATGGCAGGTGGTGTCACTGAACCGTAACAAAGCACCTGCAGCCACCCCACTATATCCCTATCACAAAATTACACACACTACCTCTAGCTAGCCACACTACAGAACATTAAAAACAAAATTCTCACAGAAACAGTAACAAGCAGACAGTGAGCCAACCAAACACATAGAGACGGTTGTTTGATCAATACTTGATGTCACACAAACCAGTGCAAAGTCACAATAATGTGTTGCTGTTGTGTACCAGTGATATTTTGTAGCAAAAATTAAATTCCAATCCAAAATGTCTGAGATGGGCTTTGAGAATGTGTTCTATTTGGAGAGTGAGTGATTTTGTATAGTTGTTTTGTTAAGAGTGCCGGCGTGGAGGGACGGATGAGGTGTTGCCTGGATACGCTCCACGGATACTCTCCGCCCTTGCTCCCAGCAGATCAATAACATCTCTATCACCTGGGATGGTGTTATGCAACAATTTAGATGATTCATTTTAATTGTGTTATTGTAGAAAATGATGCAATCTTTTATTTTTATGGATAACAAGAATTATTATGAAGTGTTTTCTGTTTGTTATTTAGCATTGATGTTTTTGCTGACTAATAGTAAATGTGTGGTTTTGCAATTTGATTATAGAGAACACTTATTACTTGCTTGTTTTTTAAAATGTTCAAACTTGAGTTTGAATGCACATTTTTAATAATTTCATTTAAAATCAAGTATGAAACAAAATTGCATAACAATTTTCATATTGTAGTATGCCGAAATTAAAATGAGTATTTTAATTAGTGAGTGTGCATTACCTGTCTTCCTGCATTATATTAAATTGCAAGTACCAATATCAAAGGGGTGAGCTACCCTACTTTGAAATGTTGTCAATTAGTTGACAGCAGGTATGGCTTTCACTATAATTAGGAGATTAACAAGGGATTGTAAAGTTAAAGCTCCTTTTTTACTTTGTGAATTTAATAATGGTTTGGGTTGCAGTACATTCTGAACTTTAGTTGTAAAAAGAACTAATGAAATCTGTAAATAATTTGGTGTCATTTTAATTATTGTTTGAATATTTTTCTATGTATTTAGATGATATGTTGCTTTACACAACTTTTGATTTACTATTTCGCTCTAATATAATGTAAATCTTCAGTGTTTACAATATGAGTGCGCCATAAGGAGGGCTGTTAGTGCTTATGTTTCTGATTAAATGTATTCTAACATTGATTTCCTCAGACTTTGAGTGCGCCGGCGACGAAGTTCTGGTGGAGTCGTCGCCGCCTGCCTCGCCCGACATGGCAGCGCGGCTTGCGGCTCCTACCCAGGTAACATACCATCAGTATCTATCCGAAAATCATATTATCATATATCCATAGATGTCATCATGCCTAGTTTAGTTAGTTAGTTCTATTAGTTCCAGTGAGTACTCAAGTATTAGCTTTGTAGCAATCTGAGTGCTTATCTATATCAAGGCTTAATAGTATTATCAGGTATCTAAGGAAGTGCTAATCTTTTTAATTTTCCTCTTTGATTACACAACGCGTCTGCCGGTTCTGTGATATCTACAAATGAAACTTCATGTTTAACAGTCGTGCGCATTAACCACAGGAAATAGGAGATATCCACAAGATCTATGTGTGTTTACATGTAGTGTGTTAGTTACATGCATTTATTTGAATCTAGATGTTATGACGCATACACTTTCCTCAAACGGCATAGCTTTTTGCACCTAAAACGTACTTGTGACTATCAGACCTTATCATATTGCGGACTTTCTCGCACTGCAGCAAAGAAAATTATACCAAACCACTCGACTCCTGAAAGTTTGTTCATAACTTCATACAGTCGATTATGCTGACTAATGATGAGTCACTCGAAGGTCAAGGTTCATTATAAAAGCAAAGTAAATACCGATGTGTACGTTACTGTATCATAAAGCACATGATTGTCTAGTGATAAAGCGTCAGTCACGCTTGTAAAGCGATTTATTAGAATACGTACTACGTTTCGATAAAAATATGTATTGATTATAACTTTTCTACGCCTTGTGAACTATGAACACCATAGACGATGTTTAGGGGCTTATTTAGGTATTAGTTGTTATTGAGCTTCTTATATTTATAATCGTAACTTTTAACTGTTGATACTACCCGTACCTAGGTAATAAAGTCTATCTAGTGATCTAGTGAAGACTGCTTCATTATGAATCAATTACTAGATAGGTACCTCACGGACGCGTAAGTGATACTGATAGTCTACTTATTCCACCCATACAGAGTGTATCTGTTCGTGATATGATGCAGCCAAAAACGCAGCACGAATTTAGATGCGGTCTTTAGCAGTGGTTAAAGACTTAGAGAGCATTAGCAACATAAGTTCTGTACCGTAAAAATACCAGTATTATGTTAATATAGTCGGCTAAACAGTTGTGTTGCGTACCTACATAGGGCGCTGGCGCGGCCGGCGGTGCCTCGCCGTCCTCCGTGCGTGAGCTCATCGTCATACCGGAAATAGCCGACTCCATGCAATTGCAGCACGCCATGCAACAGGTAAATATGGTACGCATTATTTTTATTATTACCAGGATAATATATTTTATACCAATCTTTCTCGAAAAGAAGTCTATCGGCTGCGACTTGTGGGAAGGTCTAACTGCGGTCCGACTAGGTTTCATACCGTGGAGACAATAAAAGATGATATTTGTTATTATTATTGAAACTTCAACCTATTTACCTAACTATTATAGTGCAAAGTGCAACGAAATAAAAAAATCTGAACCGACCATATTTCTGCATCCAAGTGCAGGATTACAAATGACATTCATCAACTTCTTTGTTCCTAAAATTTTACCCACTGAGTCTAATTTGCACTCCAAATGGTCTATTCTTGCTGTTACTGTTACCAAACGTGATGCCATTATACAGGTGCCTTTATGGAAATCACCGTTTGGTTAATACGTCATACTACTACTGATAGAAGTTGGCTGTGACTCCTCAGGTGTCGAGCACGGTGGTGGAGGTAAACGGCGACAGTTCTGGACACTCCAGCCCCACGACTGATGGTCAGCACACCTACATCACGGTGTCCAGCGAGTGTAAGTACCGTGTTATGACCTAACCGTTTTATATAGTGTGAATATTTTACTGAAAGACCAGCTAGGTAGCACTACCTACATCAGTGGTGCCATGCCAAGCCATGGTCCTTGAAAATAACGCCTTGGTAACACCTGGTTCCTTTAGTTGCTGATTCCTTCTGTATGAAACTCCTAATCTAAAAGGGATTCATTGTCGTCA